GAGCCTCTCAATGGTGGTCTAAAATAATAAAGGGCAGGCATAGTTACCCCCTTAAAACCTGTGCCAACCTGTGCCTATGCCTTCTCACAAATACGTACTCTATAGGAAATGTAGAAATCAGACACACACACACAGATCTCAGTACATGTTCACTACTTACTACCTGTTGTAATGGAATTACAGGAGAGAACTGTGATATTGAGAAGTTACTTGTATGGCTGTCAGTCCTCTCCTGTCTGAATTTTTTAAAAATTAAAACTGGATTCTTTAAGCAAACGCTTAATACTTCTTTTTAAAATCATTTTCTGAGTTAGCTACTTATTTTGTCTTGGGCAGAGTTTGAAGGCTAGCCATCTAGTATGCAGGCATGTATGACAGTCACAGAGTTATCTGTGATAACTCTGAAGATAGAGCCAGCTTGTTTTCTGCAACTACAGGAAAAGAGATTCCATCTCAACATCAGAATTGTAAGAGCTGTTGGCCAGTGGAATATGCTGAGTTGGAAGGTGGAGGAGTCTCTTTCTTTGAGGCTTTTAAACAGAGGCTGGATGGCCCTGTTACGGGTGCTTTCATTGTGTATTCCTGCATGACAGAATACGGCCCTTGGGGTCTCTTCTAATTCTATGCTCCTATGTCAATTACGCTATGACGACAGCTTGAACTAGAGAATATTTTACCTTGCACCAGAAAGGGGAAAACAACACTGTCCTAGGTTTGGTTTGGATTTTTAATGCTCACAATTGTAACAATAATTTACAGAGTTCACCGTCAACATGTGGTGTGCATTTGGTTACCCACAAAAGAAAAAAGCCCATTTCTAAATACTGAGGTGGGATAATGGCTGGCAGACAGTATGTCTTGGATTCAGCATCTCTGCTTTCAAAGCATCCACCTCTTTCTTTGTATAATGTGCTTCTGCTCCTAGTGAGAGACTTGCTTTCCTACCCTCTCCCCATCAGTGCGGAGCTTAGTGTCTGATCTCCACACAGTGAAAGCTGTAGGAGGAGAGCAGAACTGAAGATGGGTCTAAACAGACAGCCAACTGATACTGCTATGCTTCACAAAAGAAACATCTGTATGAACGCCTTCTGAACAAGCAGAAGGGCATTCTGTTCCAATGACAAAGGCCTATTTCAGATTAAATGATGCTACAAAATAGTGGTGGGAAGCAAAATATTTCTTTCCTAAACGAGAAAGAAATCTAGGCAGCTGGATTTACAATTTACCATGGTAACAGATTCCAGTTATATAGATCACTCTCCAAGCTAAAGCCTCTCCTTCCCCACAAGGTAAGTCAAAACCCTGAACCTCTACCATTCTTAGGTTTTCCATTCACTTTCTATGAAGCTCCCTAAGGGACATCTCATACTTTGCACCAGAGAAACACCTTATTCTCCAGCCTCCCAGGATGAATAAGCAGCCACTTCTCAGGACATGCAAAGATAAATGGTTAAGGTTCCACTTTCTCTTTGCCAGTAGAATCAAAATATGTTAGTGTCTGCAAGGACACAGAGATGTGGATGGCGGAGGCGGTGATGCTACTATATTTAATGAGGAAGAGAAGTGGGCCAGCCTGGTGTAACTGTCCCCTAATTCCACCCTCGACACACCAAAGTAATCTACAGGATTTGGTTGGCAACAGAGAAGAGAGGTCCCAGTTCAGGGGTTCATTTTATTTAATACATCAGAGGGAAGAATTTTGTGGCTATCCTTGGAGGAGGAAGCAGGCCACACATCTTTTACTCTCACCTCCTCTTTAGGGCAGCATCATGGTCAGCTGTGAGAGAAGTTATCTGGTGGGGACACGAGGCAGTCATAACTGGCAGAGGATGCTATTTTCCCCCAAAAAAGTTTATGTTTGGTTTGATTTGCCTTTTTTTAAAAAGTCCATGGATCAGCACAAAAAAAAGAAACTGAAAACAAAACGTGGGAAACGCAACTAAAGAGTCCAACCCAACAGCTTGGAACCCAGCGCTACGACCCGACTGCAACGCCGCGGTGCCCGTTGTGCCACACGCAGGGCTATATGGCGTGGGCACCAGCAGGTGGCTGGGATCCCATTATATTAACCGTTGGACAATGACGGCATTGAGTAGGTTGGCTTCCTTCAGGGTCTGGTCCTCGTCCGAAAGCTCTTTGTTCGGGAAGGTGGTCATAAGGACAAAGCTGGTGGCAGCCATGGCTGGCCTAGCATCTGCTATGAAGAGCCGAACATCACGGATCCTGCCCAGGGGGAAAAACAAGACAAGATGTTTGACTGACAGGAAAGAAACACCCTTGCTTCCTCTGGGCAAATGTATCCAGAAGCGTATGTACAGCTCTACCAAGCCCTCAAGCCACTTACCTGTGGCTGTGGTTGAATTTCTGGACAAGGCGCCCGCCATCAGCAAGCCGGATCTGAATGTTGGTGGTGGGCTCAGACTCATCAATGTTGATCGACGAACTAGCTTTGGCTTCGTTTTCAGCCTGCTGTGCTGGAGAGCTTGTGCCCATCACTTGGGGGGCAGTGCTGAAAAAGAAAGAGAAGACGTTTCATTTTTGTTTTGTTTAGTTTTGTCATAGGGCTTATCTTTCTGCCCCTCCAAACCCATGCACAATATACTTCTGTAGTGATCTAGAAGTCTTCTTCCACAGCCTACACCTTAAAGAATACTTCAAGGACAGTGAAACCTATCAGGACAACAACTCACAAGGATCACCTCTGTCTCCACAGCACAACAATAGACACTATACCAGTATTCAACCAAACACCTCTCAGAGTCAGAAAATGAATTCCACATGAATTCTTCCTGATGGTCAGTGCACAGAACTTGACTTCTACCCAGAATGCTTCTGCCAATGTGCATAGACAGAAATAATGAATAGGAGACATAATTTACCCACACAATCTCAGCTGCAAAGAATAGGAAGAATTCTAGCATTGTCATTAAAGAGGCTGACAAAGGAGGAGATGCAGTCAACATGGAAAAATTCAATTACATACAGGAGGCTGAGAGGCAACTGTACTACACTGTATTTTACAACACCCTGTCTAATGTCTCATAGATGAATGCTGGAAGGAATTGCACAGGCTACTCAGGGAATTTCCCATGGAGGTACAGAACCAAATCTGAACTGACACAGCACAAAAGACTCAACCGGGCGTATTCTACCTATTGCTCCCCAGTGCAGGAAGATGGGGCTTGGGGGGGGGGAGCTTTTGGGGCAGATCCAAAAGGACATTCCCCACACCTCACTGCAGTGGTGTCTAGAATGGTGCCACAGCAGCGAGAGGGGGGGCGTGCTCAGCCCTCTCAGCAGCCCTCCAGGCCTTCCACGTCCTGCATGGCCATTGCCATGAGGAACCCGGAAGGCAGCCACCTCTCCCTCCCCTCACCCCAGCCCTCCAAGTCCTGGTACGCTCCGCACCACCATACCCTCCTAGTGACACCACTGAATATATGTTGTTGTTGTTGTTCGCCTTCAAGTAACTTCCAATTTATGACAAACCTATCACAGGATTTTCTTGGTAAGATTTGTTCAGAGGAGGTTTGCAATTGCCTTCCCCTGAGGCTGAGAGAGAGCAACTTGCCCAAGGTCACCCAGTGGGTTTCATGGACAATTGGGGAATCAAACTCTGGTCTCCAAAGTCATAGTCCAGCACTCAAACCATTTCACCACTTCAAGTTAATGGTATGGCCATGGGCATGGCACCACAATATGCCCACATCTTTATGGCTGACCTGGAACAACACATCTTCAAATCCTTCTCCCAGAAGCCTCTTCTTTATCTGAGGTACACTGATAATATTGTCATAATTTGGATTCATGGAGGGTAGTCACTCAAGACACTCCTTTTCAACAACTTCCACCCCACTATCAATCTCAGCCTGGAACTGAGCGACAGAGCGAGTTCACTTTCTAGACATCACTGTATATTACACAACAGACATCTAAGCACCACCCTATATCGCAAACCCACTGACCACTACATGTACTTACACACCTTCAGTTTTCCCCTTGAACACACTACCAGATCCATAATTTACAGCTAGGCAATCCAGTATAGGTGCATTTGCTCAGATCCACAAAACAGGGATGCTGAACCCATGGAATTACAAGCATTCCTCAAGCTATAGTATCTGACATACAAAGTTAAAAAATCCAACTCAAATCAACAAGGCAAGACTTGTACCCAGAACTGATCTATTACAGAACAGACATGGGGCACAACCTTAAAGCTCCCAAACTGAGAACACTCAGACATATTGTTATGAACTACTATAATCCATTCTGAAGAACAATGCTGCCCTCTCAAGGGCTCTTGGTACAAGGCCTTTACTGGCCAGAAACAGCCTCCTAATCTCAGTTACCTACAGAAGAACACAAAACATGGATGAGGAGACAGGTACAAGACCTTACCACAAAACTAGAAGTCAACTCTCCCCACACATCTACTTGGGAAATGTGAAGTCAAAGGCTTTCATGGCTAGCATCCATAGTTTCTTGTGAGTTTTTGGGCTATGAGGCTGTGTTCTAAAAGAATTTATTCCAATGTTTTAACTGCATCTTCAGATGCCATCCACAGATGCAGGCGAAACATCAAGAATAAATTCTTCTAGAACACGGCCTCACAGCCTGAAAAACCCACACAAAAACCTATCTGGGACTACAGAACCTAACCATATCACCCACAGTATCAGAGGTACTATAGAAGACACTAGTTAACACATGTCTCATCAAGGCTCTCTTAGCCAGTTTATCACATCTCCATTCTGGTTCCCAGGCAGCATCACACTACATTCCAATAACTCCCTCCACTATTCACATGGTCATCTACTCACTTTGGCTTCAACATCATTTCTCCTGCCTTGATCCCCAAATGACCATACAAAACTGAACTTGTCACTTCATCACCATGCCCGTAAGTGCTGCATTTCTATTGCTATTCACACATACAGCCAGCTCATTCATAGTTATAAAAGTCTATTCCTAGGCACTTCACTACATGCATCTGATGAGCCAGTGTGGTATAGTGGTTTGAGCACTGGATTATGACTCTGGAGACCATGGTTCAAATCCTGGCTCAGCCATATAAACCCACTGGGTGATCTTCGGAAATTCACTCTTTCAGCCTCAGAGGATGACAATGGCAAAGCACCTCTAAAGAAACTTGCCAAGAAAACCCACAGGGTCACTGTAAGTTAGAAAAAACACAACACCATTAACAACAATCCTGATGTAGTATACCTAAGTCTACAGAAGCCTCTGCTATCATCTTTTTTCCTTCTCTCAGGTAGTCCCAAAGGTGATGCAAGATCCCTCTGCATACTGTTGCAGACTAACACCACTATGTCTTTGAAGTCACTGTTGTAAGCTGCTTTGAGTCCCAGATTGGGGGAAAAGGCAGGATGATATGATGATGGCGATTGCTGTAGGGAATATACTACAGATATGGGATGGACTAGTAGAGGTTTCCTTTCCACAATGTATGCCATATGGGAAGAATCAATAAGAGTCAACTGAGTATCTGCAGCATAGTATGTTCAACAAGACTTCGTGGTTTGGACACAGAAGATGTTGGTTCAAATTTTCAAGCATGGGAATCACACAGCCTTCCAGATGCTTTTGGACTACAAGCCCCATCAGCTCCATAGTTTACACAGCCAACACTGAAGAATGATCAGAGCTGCAGTCCAGTGCTGGGAGAGCTACAAGATTTCTATCCCTAAAATACTGCTTGCCTGCAAGGATTGCAGTTTCTTGACCTAATGTGGCTATGTAAGATGTTTCACTCTGAGGAAGAATCAAAGGCTATACTGGGTCTTTTTAAAAAAAAAAACAAAACTCCTGCCCTAGCAGATTGAGCTACTATGTCAACAGAATATTCACAAACAATCTAACTCCTAAAGGCTGGAAAAGTGAGAGAAGTACTTCCATTTGTTTCATCTTGGAGCGAGGCCCTACATTTCAGAGCAACTAACTCCCATCTTAAATCTGGATCATATAGGCCTTAGCTGGCCAAGTATTTCCCATATACTGCCTTAAGAACAGGTGGGCCAGAGCTTGGAATAAGTAAAAGAAATCATACATGAGGCATCTGATTCTGCAAGTAATCTTGCTGATGGCAATGTGTAATTTCATATACACAACTGTCAGGGCTAGAAGCACCCACCAGACTACTCCAAAGGAAGCTGGGAAGGTACCACATCTGCCAGAATGACAGAGCAATGAGGATCTGAAATGTTATCATTTCACTCTATGATTGACCTGATGTATTTTTGGCACTGGCTTTCACAGCTGATGGTGAGTCTGTAATGGCTGCACTCAGACTGCCTCTGTCTTGAAAAGTGAATATAGTTTGCATTTCTAATCACATTAAGCACATGAAGCAGGGTTGGCTGGTTTGGACTAGGGTTTTCTTAGGCAATGAATCCTAGAGGTGGTTTTGCCAGCTCCTTCCTCTGAAATATAGGTTACAGCACCAGGTGTTCAGTGGCACTCTCCAGCCAAGTACTAACCAGAGATGACCCTGCTTAGCTTCTAAGGTCTGATCTGGTGCCTTTAGGATATTTAGGCCTATGTATGTATTCATTATATATGTATTCAATTTATTTACTTCCTACCTCTATTTGTTTTCTCTTTGCTCCTGGAAGCTTCCAGGAGATGCAATTCACCCTTTCTTCTTTGGCCATAAAAAGAGTGGTCTGGTAAGTCCAGAGGGCTTGGGGACCACAAAAAGTGTATGTGTGTGTCCTTGAGGGGCGGGTTGTATGTGATCCCATGGCTGTACTTTGCCCACCCCTTACTAGGGGAAGAAAATGCTTTTCTTTCTTTCTTTCTTTCTTTCTTGTATTCTGCCTTCTTCCCAGGCCTAAAATTCAAGGTGGCTTACAAAACTTAAAACAGATACAGCTAAATGTACAGATCATACAGAAGCTAAAAATATAATGAAGCTATTAATAAAATTGAAAGCATGCACATTTAAAACTGAAAAGAGCCCAATAACTATAGATAGTACAGCACATTATGCAAGGCACTGTCAACTTGAGCAACCAGCTATCAAAAGCCTGCCAAAAAAAACCCTGTTCACCTGCCTACGGAAGGATAACATGGAGAGTACCAGTCTAGTCTATGTACAAGAGGGAGCTCCAGAACCTAAGAGCAGCCATCAAGAAGGCCCTCTCTCATGTCCTCATCAAGTGTGCTGGCAAGAGTGGTAGGACAGAGAGAAGACCTCTCCAAAAGATCTTAAAACACAGGTAATCTCACATATGAACATAATGGTCTGTCAGATAGCCTGGACCTAAACCATACTGAGTTGTATAATTCACAACTAGCACTGTGAACTGTGTCTGGAAACAGAAGGCAGCCAAAGGAGTTGTTCCAACAAAAGCAAAGGAAAGCAAAGCAGCTTCATTTATATACCGCTTCATACCACGCTATGGGGTGTCTAAGCAGTTTACAACTGTAAACTCATTGCTCCCCAACAGTGGGGTACTCATTTTAGTGACCTCGGAAGGATGCAGGCCTGAGTCTAGCTTGAGCCCTGGCTAGTATTGAACTCGCAACCTTGTGGTCTATGAGTGAGTGGCTGCAGTGACCAGTCTGTCTGCAACTTTTTGGACCAGCTGACATCCAAAAACTCTTCAAAGCCATCCCCATGTAGTACACTCCCCATAACATACAGAGAAAATGTAGACTGATGTCACTTGAAATCTTCCAGTTCGTTCTTCTCCGAGAAACAATGGGGCACACTTATGGTACATATATGCATATACACAGAGAAGAGTCTTACGCAAGGTGGCTACTCACCTGCCCAACTTCTGCCCTTCTCCAGTAAAAGCCTTGAAAGTCCCTCGAGGCTTCACAAAGTCCTCATCACGATGGTCTTCCAGATCCAAGTTCACCTGCCCACCACGTGCCAAACGACGAAGTTCTGCAGGAACTTCCCTGGCAAAAGGAAGGGAAGGCTCATTTAAAGATAAGGCAAGCCACCTAACTAGCTAGCCCCTCTTTTCTGAATGATGTAATGGAGAGGGACCTGTTCTTTTTTTTTTCCGATTTTATTTTATTTTTAAAAAACATAAAAAAAATCCACTTAAAATATATTCTTAGTCATCTTTA